TTTCGAATGCAATTAGTGTTTCGTTTATCGCAATCTATCACTTCGTTTCTAACAACTCGGCTTTCACTAATCTGGCGGTGGAAGTTTTTCCCATTGCCAAAAGTATTCTTTGCAATTCAATTTTACTTAGAGTTACAATTTTTAGAGATATCTTTCCACCATTTTCAATTCAAATTATTCTTTACTCTTTTCTTTGATCGATTAGTTTCATTCATTCCAATTATTGCTTTCAGTTAATTATTTAATGATAACATCAAATACTGTGTACTTTTCATGAAAAGATCTTCGGCAGATAAATATTATTCGAAGAAATGCGATGGAACGTGTGTTAAGGATTGATTAAGGTTCGTTCGGTTTCAATGAGATGCTCTTCCGCAGATTTTCTACTTTCAGAAAAGTGCATAAGATGTCGAGCGATTTTGCTTACATTTTAAGATATAGCTGATTTTCTGAAGTTATCTCACTGCTCGGCAAAGTAATCTCAATTAACTCACTATCTCAAGTCATAAGCTATCTCATATAGGTGAATCTNAGTTATCTCACTGCTCGGCAAAGTAATCTCAATTAACTCACTATCTCAAGTCATAAGCTATCTCATATAGGTGAATCTCACAAGTTATCTCACCGAAGTAGTCTCTATTTTGTGCATACTCCTCCGTCGAGAACGGAGAGAACTTTAATTGATCCAGAAAATATACCTCAAAATTCACTGCATTTTTGAACAATGCTGAATCTTTGCTACAAAACGATATGCAACTTTCTTCCTAATTTTTTCTCTCAGGACGGAGATAGTCTCAGTTATTGCAGTATATACACTAATTGTCACTAATGCACATCACCACTGATCACGCCAAGTGATATTACTCTCTTAATTTGACAGTTGCCGTAAATATTTAGTGCGGATCTCTATAGCACTCAATATCGGCTACAATGTGGTATCTATCATGGTTATAAATTTTCCCAGTTAGGTAGGTAACATTTCAAATTATTTCTTGAAGTTTTGCACTTAAAGCGAAATTGAAAATCTCGAAGCCGTATTTATCGCTGCCCACTTTATACATCATGTTTTATTCTTTTAGATCTACACTACAAAACGATGTAATAATTGCCCGGATTTATTCCCGTTCAGTGGGTAGGAAGTTCACGTTTCTGAGCATATATCAGATGAAAATGCGAGTTTCAATTCGCTTGGCGAATTGACAAGTGAATCCGTTCGTACTTGGCGAACTGTCAGCGTTTCGTTAGGAATTTATGTGATGCGTTGGCATATTTCAGGTTTTATTGAGGGATGAGATTTTCTTCCGGAAGTGCTTATTGAATCACTTAAAATCTACTTGAAATGGTCAGGTAGAGCAGTTCTGAGAAGCAGGGATCGGAAGTTGAGTATAATCATTATTTGGAGAAGCAACACGTTGATGTGTTCATTGTGAGCATGATTAGTCCACGTTTCATATGCGTTGTATTTCTTCGCTGTTTTGTGCAATTTTTGACTGAACTTCATTTTCAGCAACTCCATCGTCATGGCTCTGCTCACCAAATTTGAGTCGAAATCTGCTCGAGTGAAAGGTTACTACTTTTTTGCTAGATTCATTTGTGAGTCCATTATCAATATATAAAAAAATATTCACATTTGATTTCAGTGCACATTTCAGCATAATTAATTTACTAGAAATGCTTTAATGTTGGAGAATTTGAAGTGGAATAGTAATATTGCGTTTCAGGAATTTCATTTCATCCAACTCGCCCATGGGTACTAGCATCGTTGCACAGTGGTGTAATCCAGCTGTGGGATTATCGTATGAATGTGATGTTGGATAAATTCGATGAGCACGATGGACCAGTGCGTGGAATCTGCTTTCATTTGCAGCAACCAATATTTGTTTCGGGCGGTGATGACTACAAGATTAAGGTTGACATTTTTAACAATCAATAATAGAATAAAAATTTCTGAGCAAATCTCAACCGGTTTATTTCCCAAACTAAACAGATCCAAAGCGATCGGCGTATTGACCGTCCCAACAATGAATATTTGTTTCAATGAAGAAATATTTTGAACCTTGAATTCCGCAAATATTTTGGTTTGATTGAAGGTCTGGAACTATAAGCAACGTAGATGCATATTTACCTTATTGGGTCACTTGGATTACATTCGTTCCACATTCTTTCACAATAAGTATCCATGGATTATAAGCGCATCCGACGATCAGACCGTTCGTATTTGGAACTGGCAAAGTCGTAACAGTATCGCCATTTTGACTGGTTAGTTAATAAAGCCTTTTCTTTTCTCACCAATATCACGTTAGTTAGTGAACCCGTTCAGTTAGTAGTAATCATTTTTATTTATTTGTATTTGTGCGATATTTGCTCACATGTTTTGATCGATGTCATATTTTTTGTGACAACTTGACGAAGACGAAATGCCAATTGCATCAAAAGAATCGGAGATTTTTTATTTCCCTGGAAATAAGATGGCCCATGGATAATCGGATACGGCGTAGTGCCAGGGAAATACTAGCCATATGTCACAAACACTCGAAAAACAAACTTATATCCAGTCTCGTCGTAATATATTATGCAACTACAGTTTCTGATCATCTTTGAAGTTGATATGTGAAAACGGAAGGTAGTATAATACTTGAACGATTGCAGGTCACAATCACTACGTGATGTGTGCTCAATTTCATCCAACTGAAGACTTAGTTGCATCGGCGTCATTGGATCAAACCGTTCGAATTTGGGATATTTCTGGTTTGAGGAAGAAGAACGTCTCACCGGGTGCCAGAAGTGATGTGAATAAGAGTCGATCAACTGGTGCGGCTACTCAGGCGGATCTTTTCGGCCAACCAGACGTAGTCGTGAAGCACGTTCTGGAGGGACATGATCGAGGTTAGCGAATCGATGGAGTAGATAATTTTTAATTCGTTTCAAAATCAACTATTGCAAATGATGGAGAGCATATACCTCTTTGCTATCATTCAATATCACTTTCATTGTTCTGTTGCCTTATCGTTTCAACTCAAAAATTGATGGATATTCTGTGGATTGTAGAGCCGTTTATGTTTTTGAATCTTCGTGTCATCATTTTGTTCAAAGCGATCCGGAAAGTGGGTGCTGAGAATGTATTTCTGGTCTGATAGGAGCTTGATTTGGAGTAGCGAATTGAGTAAATCTAATTTGGTTTCAAGTGAAAGCTTAGGCATTGAAAATTGTCAACGATAATGAGTGTGAACGTTTGATTTTAGGTGTGAACTGGGTAGCATTTCATCCAACCATGCCAACACTCGTATCGGGTGCTGACGATCGTCAAGTGAAACTTTGGCGATATAACGAGAGTAAAGCTTGGGAAGTGAGTTGGAATCATTGATTCGATTATCATACCTAATGAACTGAGAGTAAAATTAATGCTGGATAGGATCTAATCGCTGATAATGAGTTGATTGCAAAAGTACACAGTACTTTCTTTGCATTAGAAAAGAATAATATTTTTGATATTTTTCATGCAGAAAGAATAATTTTGGTTTCTGTGCTCTAGGTGGACTCATGCCGTGGTCACTACAGCAACGTATCGTCTGTGCTGTTCCATCCGCAATCAGAGTTGATTTTGAGTAATTCGGAGGATAAGAGTATTCGTGTTTGGGACATGCAAAAGAGAACATGCCTGCATACGTTCAGGTTGCTTTCATTCGTTATCGTTGTTTTATTCAGTTCATTGTTTGAGTGAATATTTTTAATGAGCATTTGGCGAAGAAAAAAAATTGGGGCATTGCCTGCAAGTTAATAAAGGTATTGAGTTGGTTTGTTGTGAAGTTGAGGTTGGTATGAGAATGTGGAGAATTGGTATTGAGGATTGAGTGAGTGAATTTATTGGTGATGATAAACTTGAACTGAAAACGATTCAGAAACAATGCGATCAGAATGTTTATACTGTTGAATTGTTGAAAGCGATGAATTTTCTGTGTGTAATTCATGCTGAATTTATGTTCTAAGGTTGCTTCTCGGTGATGTAATCGCTGATGTTTAGTTATTCGGAATTGAAGAAGAGTTGTTGGCTTTCAGACATGATAATGATCGGTTTTGGGTGCTATCTGCACACCCAACATTGAACATGTTCGCGGCTGGTCACGATAATGGTATGATGATATTCAAAATTGAACGGGAAAGACCAGCATCTTGTGTGCATGAGAATTTGATCTTTTACGTCAAGGACAGACAACTGCGAAGACTGGATATCACAACTAAGTTCGCTTTTTTGAATCCGTCTCGATCTTGTTTCATCTTATTAATCACTTACTTTCAATCGTTATTGTGGATAGACGTTGTAATTGTTTTGAATATGAATGTATTCAAATTACATTCGCCGTATATTTTGTTACAATTCTTGTATATTTACATGTGATTTGAAAACATTAGAAGAAATTGCAATGTTGTAAAATTGAAAACATATTGCAGCAAAGACGTGCCATTGATTCAGCTGCGTGGTAATAAATTAACCCAACCCTACTATTCACTTCACTATAATCCCGCTGAGAATGCATTCCTTTTGCTCACTCGCGCAGTCAATCCAGAAAATAGCACATATGAATTGTACAAGGTTGGTGGTCGTCTTGTTAATTTTATTATTCATTTCATGATTCCTGTAATCTGTGCTCATCGTAGTGATTCATTTGGGATTATGATGGCATGATCTGTTCAGGTACCGAGAAGTTTGCATGAGGGTGGTTCGGGTGAGGTACCCGAAGGGAAGCGTTCCTCTGGAACGGCAGCAGTGTGGGTGGCAAGGAATCGTTTCGCGATTCTCGACAAACATCAACAGGTAAGCACCGTTTGATTGATTGAATCGTTGCGGAAATTTGAAAAATTATTGATCGTGAATAAAGTTTACGATTTGCTCATTCGTAGTAGGTGTGCTGCATTCAGCAGTTAAGATGTATGAAATTTCAGTTGTTGATTGTGTTAGGTGATGATTGTGTTCCGTATTATACTCGTATGATTATTGCATCGCAGATACTTTTAGATAATAATCCGTGATCTGTCCAATAAGGACAATCGAAAGATTGAACAGAATGCAACGGTGGACGAACTGTTCTATGCCGGAACGGGATTATTGTTATTGAAGAATGCAGAAGGATTGCAACTTCTTGACGTTCAGCAGAAGCGAGTTATTGCGGCCGTTAAAGTACCAAAGGTTTGCGACGCTTCCTTCGTTCAATTATCGAGTGTTTCGTTAACGTACAATTCATTCGTATAGTTTGATGGCATTGACTGATGTGACTTATTAAATGTTGCAATTGTTTAAGACTGTCTTTTTTTCAATTTGAAACAATTCATAAAATTGAATTTCATTTAATTTGTGCCCTTGTGAGCAACGATCAGATAGCAAAAAGATTGAAGTGATTCGTTGTTTAAGGTGAAATACGTGGTATGGTCAAGAAACATGGAATATGCAGCGTTGTTAAGCAAACATACGCTGACGCTTATCAATCGGAAACTTGAGGTTAGCAGTGTGCAGTCAAAAATAAAAGCATTTTGTTTTCTGTATGCATATATTAGAGGAATCGTGTTCGTATTGTTACTGTGCGATTATTTTTCTGTACTTTGGAAATATGAGAACATAGCGGAATTTTTTTGTGTGATGATATATTTTGATGGAGGAGTGATTTTTGAAGGGGATAAATTCTTGACAAAACGTTCAGATCCTGCACACAGTGCAAGAGTCGACGAGGGTGAAGAGTGGCGCATGGGACGATGGTGGTCTCTTCTTGTACACGACGTCGAATCACATCAAATACGCACTAACAGCCGGTGACTCGGGTATCATTCGTACGTTGGATGTACCCGTCTATATATTGGCCGTTCGTGGTGAACGACTTTATTGCCTGAATCGGTTCGTGTCTTGAGAAGTCTTACTGATGTTGACAAATCGAACTCATTGTTCGATCGGAGAACTTGGTTCATTACGAAATTACTATGCAAAGAATTTTTTTGGATAAATCAACGTGAATTTGAATATGAGCGTGAGTATGCGAGTGCAAATTGGTTAATATTTTAGCGGCAT